TAAGGGAGAATTTGGGCAAGAGAAGGTAGAAATATGCTGGGCTGTGTCAATGGCAATATATGTCAAATTATTTTATAGATTTACCAGTTATATTACATTTGTTGAGTGTTATGCCATGAAAAGAAGTTGGTATTCTATGCTGTGTTGAAACAGGCATGGAAAACTCATGTGAAGGATAGTATATATGTATATAATGTAAATAATTAATGTTATAGGCCACCAGAGCGTCTCCTGGGACCAGGGGGCTTCTGCTCCTAGATCTGGAGCAGTGGCGACTGTCCTCAGTCTCGTCTGGAACAGTCTTATCATCTTTTTCTCTCCATTCATCTTTCCACTTTAGGTTGGTCACATCCTCTGTGAGGGTGTCCACCTTTCCTGAAATAGGTTCAAATTCTCAAGTATCTTGTCCATTGATAAACTCAAGCTTGGCTTGACACGTGGCACTACTATAGCACAGCAGAGCTAAGAAAAAGGCCAAGGAAGAAGGCTGAAGCAGGGGTTTATATAGTATCGCAAGTGGGTGGTTTGGCGGACCAAAAGTTATTAAAATTAGTTATTTAACTACAAATTAGCTATTAGTTAAGAAAACTGGTCAAACAGTTGATACGTGAGACTTAGCCTTCTGAAATATAAATACCTATTGTAGCTATATACATTATACATGTACATATGTGAATGTACACATGTACAGTAGCAAATGTACATAATTTGCTGATTTTTGTACATGTACTTGTACTTGTTTTTGTTCCTTCTAGAGCAGAGAGGGAGAGGAAGGAAAATGAAAGGATAGAGAGGGACAGTGAAGAAGAGGCCCAGCATTTAGATGAAGAGAAAGCAAAGACCAAGAAAAAGGGCAGAGGACAGCAGCACCTGAAAGCTGTTTCCGCTGATATTGCCAAACCATTTCCAGGTCATGCGGGCACATCTGGACCAGAATCAGCCATTGCTACTCATCTAACAACTTGACCTTTAGGAACACGAGCCATGGCTTTCAGGACTAGCATTATTAGCAGTACTAATGAATCACAGCAAGGACGGTACACTCAGTATACATTTGTTTGCACAGTATACTTTTTTTCGTTGATGTATTGTGATGTAGCAAAATGAGAGCTTTAATTTTATGTTTATAGTAAACCGAAAAATGTTTTCCAAAGGACTTAAATGATGATGGCTATAAAATCACAGATAAAAATTTAAAGAAAAAGTGAGAGACGCAATGCAGTCTATTACAAAATCAGTTTTGAAAGAAGCATTTGCTATAGTGCATGTACTTGGTTTTTCTTCCAAAATAGACATTATCTCACCTCTGTTCTACCACCAAGTCCTTTTCCTGTCTCTCTCTCTTTCAACCCCCTTCTGTATATACTATTTGTTAGGTTTTTTTTATACGAGTCATCAGAGCAAAGTATTAGGAATTTAGTGGATACTTGGGACAGAGACAAAGAAGCAGTGAGACACATGAGAGCACTTCCTCCTCTTAAACTTGAGCCTGAGACTAAGCAACTTAATAAAAGAGCCACACGAAAGAAGATAAAAAAGGTACAGTACTTCAACGTTTTTGCAGCATGTACTTCTTTTTATATATTTTTACAATTATACTAAATTGTGTTCTGTAGAATGTTTGAGCTCTTCTAGTCAAAATGGAAATATTTTACAAATTTTTTTGCTTAAAAATCATTTGATATGCCATGTAAAATAATGTACTAGGCCATTAGACAAATTTAATCGACAATGGCCAGGTGAAAATTTTTAATTTTATAGTTTTTTCTGATAAATATGCATTTGTTTTTGTTGTGTAGAATGTGTGAAGTGATTCTGTACAAAATTGGATTTTTTAATAATTGTAGCTCACTTTGCATGCTTTCGCTGCATGTGCATATGCATTACGTACATGTGAATTAACATACCTACAAAAATGCATATGCACATGCAGCCAAAGCATGCTAAGTGAGCTACATTTGTAAAAAGCTAGCTTCATAGAGCTTCTTCTTGTATGTATTATACATGTACTTGTCAGCTCCGTGAAGCTTGCTTTTTCCAAATGTAGCTCACGTAGCATGCTTTGGCTGCATGTGCATTGGCATTTTTGTAGTTAAATTAATGTACATGTGTAGTACATGCACACTAATTATTGTAAAGTCCTGTATGCATGTACATGTATTTCAGTGTGAAGTTGGTACAAGACAGGAAACAGCTTCAGCGTTATCATCACAGCCCACAGGACTGGAGTCGAGGTACCAGTCATTGAAGAGGATGATGAGAGCTGAGATGGTGTTGGTGACCCTGTTATGTACTTCCCTATCACTAGAGGAAGTGATGATGTCTATCATTCAATAAGACCCGTTACACCAACACTCAATGAAGTGAGATTTACATGTAGCTGTGCTATTATTTTTGCAAAATTTTTGGTACACTGGTAGCATGTATTTTACAAAGAATACATGCACTCATACACGTTCATGTCCATTTATTGTTTTATAGGTTATTTGTATCTTTTCATCAGATCCTAAAGGGCTTGGTCTTTGTTCTGACGGTGGCCCAATGCCTGATCCAATATCATTTTAATTTTATCATTATCCAGTTAAGGGAAAGCCAATGCAACGAAGTTTACAGGAACACTTTATTTATTGATAGTGATGTGTAAGCCATTAATTGATACTCTATATAGGCATTGTAGATGTATACATGTACATGCTCATGTACCTGCACTATTTGTTTGGTGAGACTTGTGGACAATAGTCTATTTTCCTGTTGTATTTCTTAATCTTTCTCCTGTTTCTCTTCAATCGTATCTCTCTCTTATCCCAGTTGTCTTATTCATGAAGGATGATATGAGAAAAAAGTCTCCGGACCTCACCTCATTAATGAAGACAAGTGAAGGCAAATCAAAAGACCTATGTGTACAGCAAAGGAGATCCGCTGTAAAATCAAGAGCCACCAAAGCATTAACTTCATCACCATTCATACTCACCAAGGGCAGCAGAATAGTGGGGGCTTGGAGGCTTGAGATGGGGGGCGTAGCCCCCCAATATTTTGAAGAGGATTCTCAGCCCTCACTTCAGTGGGTGTGAAGTTTTGATAATCTAAAATGGCAGAGCAGTTATCCATTGACTCGTTTATCTTCAAAGGCAAAAATTAGGTAGTGAGTCTTCTGATGGAGACTCAGAAGTCTCAGATTGTGAGTTAGATCCAGTTGGCAGTTATAATACTACGTCAATTGCCGACACTAGCACTTGAATGTAGTAGCATGCCAACACTGCAGAGTCAGCTGCTTGTTCATCTGCTTGCTTTAGTGGTGATAAAGTTAATTGTCAAGCCATAACATACAAGTCACAAAAGGGATGTTATGGTCGACCAATTTGTGGCATGTGGTTTCATGAGTATTCCTGGCTTACTTACTGTGAGTCACAAGCAAAAGTCTTGTTTCTACTGTCTCAGTGCTCGTTTTGAAACTTTTAATTACATTTAGTACTAAAGCTGACAAACTTTTACAGTCAAAGTTACAATAACTAAACAAAGGCAAAATCAAGGTTTCGTAGTCATGAGAAAAGCCATACACATCGTAAAGCTGTATGAAGATTGCAGAAATTGAAGGCCCATCAGCAGCAGTTCAGATCAGTTCTCAATTGAAAAAGGAACAGCAGCGTGACAGAAACATCTATCTTCTTTTCGTTATCTTACAAAGCTGGGTTTTGCAATGAGAGGACATGAAGAGAAAGATGGCAATCTAGTTCAGCTATTACAATGCCAGTCAGAGAACATACCAGAGCTAACTAGGCATAAATACCTTTCTTTTGATTATTAATAGTTAATGAGATGATTGAGCTCTTGGCTCATCGTATACTCCGAGAGCTTTTCATTGCTATTACAGAGGCAGAGTGGGTTTCACTAATATCAGATGAAACTCGAGATATGAGTAACAAAGAGCAACTTGTCGCAATAAGATATGGATTGACACAAATTATACAATTCATGAAGATTTTATTGTTCTTGTTGAATGGATCGCACTGATGCAGGCACACTGTACAAAGAATTAAAAGATTCTCTACTTTGTTGAACTCTTAATTATTAGCCAGCGTCGTGGGCAACGTTATGATGGTGCAGCTAATATGGGTGGCCACTTAACTGGGGATGTAAAATTGTCACAGGAAGAAGAGCCAAGAGCATTATTTGTTCATTGTTTGGCTCATGCACTGAACTTATGTCTTCAGGATTGTGCCAGTCACTGAAGCATAGTTAGGGATGCTCTCCATCTTACATTGAAAACATCGAATATGATTTGTGCTTCTCCTAAGTGTCTGTCATTCACTCTTCTCAAATAAGAGCTTCTCCTGGTTCATACTCACCGAATTTGAGACCTTTGTGTCCAACTAGATAGACAGTGTGAGGCTGTGCCATCAAGGCAGTAATTATTAATAAAGTACTAATTAGTGAGCTAGATATTACTGCAGCTGAATCACAAATGAAACAGGAAGCAAAGCAGCTTGTTTAATGACACTGACAGAAAAATTCTTAACTTTTTTATGACCTCAAAATGTCTTATCTCTAGAGTTGTACCGATACGGGTTTTTGTCTAAATATTTCGATAAACTGATTTTCATAAAATTAATCAGCAAATATTTTTACCAATACCAATATAAATTCAATTTTTTAAATATTTTTTTCCATTTTTGAAAATCATTAACAATCATTACATAAAAAAGTGTAGTTATTTTTAATGAAAAGAAGTGTTTCAGCTTTGTCAGGTAATAACCTGGAACGTTTCTCATCATAGATATCAGATGCTCCTGAAAATAGACGATCAGAAGGAACAGAAGTGTTGGAAGAGCACCTAAGTATTGCTGTACCAACTTAGCAATATCAGAAAACCTCACTGTATTCTCTGATCACCAGTGATAACAATTTTTCTGATGGTAGTCTATTACTGGCTCTGCTAGGTATAAGTCTACTATACTCCCTGTGTGAAGTAGACTAGTTGTTCCTGTTTCTTCTAAAACCTCATTAAAGCTGTGCCAAATAGCTGAGTCAGGGGGTTCCTTCCGTACCCGCTTTGCCGGTGACTCAGTAATAGTATTAGTGCTTCATTCCTTAAGTTTATCCTCTAGCATTTCCCTAGCCTTAGCTCTTGCAGGAGCTCCTGAATAAAATTTATCCTTCAATCATGGGTCTAGTAGAGTTGCCTGAACCAATTATTCATAATCTTCCACATCATCATACCTGCTACATAAAGATCGAAGCATTCCTCTTTTCATATGTCTTACTCCATCATGATGTTCTTTCTCTAGAATTTTAGTTAACATTCTTAAAAATGGCATAACAACAGAAATTGAACTGGCATCTGCTGAAATAGAGTTTGCTATCTCGTCTATTGGTATAAGTACAGTTATTATCTTCTAAGCTAAGTCAATTTGAGTTGATGTTAGTATAGCAATCTCTTTCACTATAGCATATGCTGCCAAGGCAATTTTCCGCTCTATAACAGATTTTACCATGTACAGTGAGGAATTCCATCTTGTTTTCACATCTTGTTGGAGATGATATGGTGGTAGGGAAAGATGTTCCTGTATTTCATGTAAGGCTTGATATGCTACTGTCGAATGTTAAAAGTGCCCAACTATCTTTCTGTAGATAGCAAGTAACTGAACAACACCAGCCTGTAGTAAAATACCATCACTTACAATTAGCTGCAGAGTGTTAAGAAAACAGCCAAAAGAAGAAAAACTAGCGTCAGTCATTGCTTTCTTCATATTTGCTGCGTTATCTTTAATGACAAAGTGAAGTCATTCCCTTCCAATTTCCCAGCCTTCAAGCATCTTAATATTAATTGCGGCAAGATACTCTCCAGTATGAGAACCTTCTATTGGCTGTACATGTAAAACAGCAGATTTTCTTTCAAATTTGTCTGTTAACCAATGAGCTGTGAGGCTAAGGAGAGAGACAACTGCTCCTTCACTGCTCCAAGCATC